TATATATATATATATATATATATATATATATATATATATATATATACTGTAACCATTTGTGTATGTATTTAATTAAAAGTAAAAAAAAAAAAAAGCTTTCTGTGTAAATATCTCATGTTACAACATGGACACTGCAGCTCATAGACAAGTGTCGCCTATATATGTACAAAAAAACATTTATTTTGAAATTTAGTGGGCGCGGCTTATTCAAGTTTATTTTTTGGAAGTTATCGCCTTGACATCTCGTCTACGAGGGGTTTAACAAAGAATCCAAACATTCAACCAATAAATAATACAGCAGATCGTTTCCCAAGACATTATTTATCCACTTTCTCTTAAAAAAACCCTACATATAACATGCTAATTTATTAATTTTAAAAGGTGCCTGTAATATGATTTTTTTTATTATTATTATAAGTAGCAGTTTCTTCATTACGTGCATTTTTAATAAGCAAAGAATTGGAATATACAGAATAATGTTCTCCCTTTCCTTGACAACATTTTCAGTAAGTGTACCAATCTGTGTTTTGGTGTGGATTTTTTTTGTTATAGAGTTAATTTTTTTGTGCTACCCTTGTGTTTAGTTAATTTCCCAGTGTTTCCTGTGCCACCAGTACCTCTCTTATCCACACTCTGCTCTTTAGTCCAACCATGACCACCTACACCTGTTCCTTATTATCAATAAACCACCAGAGTTTTGTTGTTTTGTATCTTTTTACTGCCTCACCAACATTTTGTTGGTTTGGCGAGACTATTCTTAAATGCTTTAGTTTTTGAGCTCCTCGTATTGGCTTGCATTTCTGGGTTTGATTGCTCTGCAAACCATGACAGAGAGCCTTAAAATAGATTTCCCAGATATAAAAAGAAACCAGTCAAAATACAGTAATAAAATATAAAGAACAGACTGATTATTGATTTCCTAGAATTCAGACAGAAGAAACTGAAGTGTAAAGATTAGAGTCTAATCTAGATCAAGTGGCATGCTTGAATGGATGGAGTGAAGAAAGGCTTATGGAAGAGCTGATTACAGCCCCTACAATGTCTGGGACAAGAGCTGATTCTAGTAAATGCTAATGAGACACTGATGAAGACACAACTGAGGAGACTGCATGGAGTTAGAACTTGTCAGCCTCTAAATGTTGACAAAAATGAGGAAAAAGCCCAAGATGCTTCAAATATTACACAAATTCTACCTAAACGTGTAATAGTTGTACTTGTTTGTGACTCATTAGCTGATTCACAACATGTTCAGCTTCTAAGGGTGTGTATATCAAGCAACAACCAAAAAAAGGGCAAAAAACAAAAAGGGGACGTGCCATTTTTCATGTTACATTAAGCAGGACCAAATGTTTGGCTGGCAGCTAACGTTCAGCAATTGTTCCACTTATTGTTTGGAGATGTACTATGAAATCTAACTGAAGCAGAATCCTACAGGAATGCTCCTATTTCTCTGCCATGCCACACTCCATTAGGGCAAAGTTCTTGGGTTTCTCTCTGTGCACCACTGAGGGAAATATGAGATGTTTAACGAAGTGTGTGTGTGGATGTGTATTGACTTGCAGGGCAGTGCTTGGTGTGCGTGCACAATGGAAGTGTATTTCTGCTCTGCCCTACTCAGAAGTCAAAGCATGGTTTGAATATGTGAAGGTTCCCTGCGGTATGTCGTCACATAATCACACACACACACTACAGAGTGTCATTAGAGTTCAAAATGCCACAAAGAAGCAGCTTTTTTTTAATTTGGCACTTTTAATCACTTTGATTGAGTGGTTTAAGTTGCCAAATGAACTAATTGCCTACTGGTACTTAGTTACATGAATATAAACATCGATGCCCATTTTTTGTTTAAATATTTACATGGACAAGAAAAGGCTGAAAGTTCCTATTATCCATCCATCCATCCATTATCTTGTGACAAATTTCCCTTTTTCACATTAAACTCCTACTATTACTGCAAACGCAGTAACGCAGTGCAGAGATGTGTGCAGTCTTACCAATGAAGGGGATTGAATCCAAAGAGTCATCCAGGTTTTTGGAGCCAGATTTTTTCCGAGTGTCTCCAAGCCTCCTGAAGGGCAACTCCCTACAGCTCTCATTGGACATCCAATACATGGCTCCATCGGCAGAGCCTGCCTTCACCAGGGGTGGTGACTTACGAGCCACCTTACCCTGGTTGTCGTTAACAGCTAATACATAGGACGGAGGTCTATATCCAGAGGTCTTGTTTGTTCTTAGGACCACAACAGTTGCTTCAGGTCCTTCGACTCCCTCTAAAAGACCACCATTAGTCCTCTCAAGAGCGCTGGTAGAACTAGAGGTTTCTTTGACATTTGGCTTTTGTGTTATGGCTCCTGTAGAGGAGGATGAACATGAAGAAATGGTGACAACTCCACTTTGAAACTGTCTGTGCATGGGTAGTTTTGAGGCAGGACCAGAGCAAGACAAGGATCTGGCTGCTAAACCTGATTCTAACCTGCTGTCCATTTTCAGACTGTCAGCTCGGCTCCTGAGCTGCAGGTGCAGAGGGGATGAGAAGCCAAGGTGGTTCCCCAGGACTGTAGCTCTTTGGTCTTTAAAAGGGTCTGGAGGTTTAATGGAGGATAAGGCAGGAGAATGGTCTGAGATTGAGTTTTTGATGGGCAAACGAGAGGGTCTCATTATGAGACCGTCTGTCCTTGATGGTAGTGCAGAATCTGTCGTACTCTTTGTAAAATCAGGTGTAGGTCCAGGTGAGTTTGCTAGTCCATCATGTTGCACTTTCTCCCCCTGTCCAGTGAGACTCTTATTCAGATGAGGTAAATTTTTCTGGCTTGCTTCCTGACGTTTTGCTTGCTTTTCCTCTCCATCACATAGAAGCAGCCTGTCCTCCACTGCTGCCCTGTCTCCAATCACAACCTCACCTTGATCTCTGATCTGCTGGCCCAGGTAGTCACAAGAGCGTGCTCGAGGTTTAATGACTTTGACAGTATTGGAGAAAGGTAGAGCATCCTGAGAAGCACTACGAGGCCAGTTCCTAATAGGCTTCTCTGTTGCACTTCCTAGTCTTTCCTGGGACATGCTGCGTAATGGAGTTGTCACTGCAGTACCCTGACTTCCTGTATTCACTCCACGATCATTAGATGCACTTCTTCGTCTGACCTGAGAGCCCACTTTCTGATTGTTACATGATGTAGGGGTATGTTGCTGGGCGTAGGCAGAGTTAGAACTGGCAGCTGCTCGCAAACTATCCAAGCGTTCCTGGATGGTGCGACATCCATATGTGTGCAGCCTTTTGGCATCAATATAGTCTTTATAGGTGGTGTAGTTTTTCCAGTCAATGTTCTTGTGTGGAGAGGTGGAGGGGCCAGAAGGAGAGGGCGAGTAGTGGTTGGTAGAGGGTGAGATGGGTGTAGAGAAAGTGTCTGCTGATGCAGCAGTAAGTGATGCTTGTACAGGTGGAGATAATTTCTCAGAATAGCCCATACCAGGTCGAGAAGTCAATGAAGAGGAGTAGTTTGGTGTTTCTGTAAGATGGGAAGAGGTGCACTGCAACTGTGCACCCTCAGGAACTGAAGGAATATTGGGTCTGGGTCTACTGGAGCCACAATCTATTGACGAACTGTACCGGTTTTCTTCTGTCCTGTGGCTGGGTCCAGCCCGAGCCACCCAGGATCCCCTGTCCACTGGATCAAGGGGTATACTCAGAGTCCTTTCATTATCATTACTGACACACACCACTGGCTGAGTCACTGATGACTGCTGAGGAGGGGGAGATGGAGGAACAGGAATTTCCACTCGATAGCTGTTTCCTGCAGCAGCTCCTTGTCTTCTTGGTCCCTGCACTTGCCGTTTGGGGGTGTCGCTGACTGTGGCAGGCTCCAATGACTGGGTCATGCCAGCAGCCTTGAGCTCTACTCGAGGGTAGCATATGGGAGGGGGCTCAGGGATGTTTTGGGCATTTCCGCTGTATGCCTCATTTCCTTTCAGGTATGCATCTTGAGAATATGCCTGCAAGAGATCAGAGAAAACAATGTCACTTTAGCTTCAGAGACATTTAAGGGTTAAACTAGATGACAGTAAACCCAAAGAGATAAAACTTAATCGGCGATGAATAATAATCCTTTGTTTGAGATATGCAAAGAGTAGAGCTACTGATTAGATCTAAAAAAAGTTAAATCTGGTCCTCTGGACATTTAAAAAAAACAAAACAAAGCAAAACAACAACAACAAAAAAACATGCTTTTTGTTGTTTTGCTTTGTTTTGTTTTTTGAATGTCCAGAGGACCAGATTCAACTTTTTTAGATTTTTCTACCTGGATTATTGAGCATGCATCAGGATACTGATTAGATCCCGACAAAACCAACTGTGATGAATTTACAATTCAAGGAGTTTTCAGCTGCTAACCTATCATATTATATCTTAGAGTATCAAGCTCAAGTTTGACAAATTCACTGCCAGATCGAATTTTCTCTGCTCTTACAGCTAGAGTGTTTCTAAAAATATCTCATCTGCAGCCCTGCAATGTGACCGACTGAGTCTGTCTTCTAAAACTGCAGAAAGACTGATGGTCATTAATTGACGGGAGTCTCTTTGTGTGACTTGATGAGATTATCAGTGGGACATTCACTGCTGCTGCCATCTCTCAGAGGACAACTGGATCCAGCCAGTCAATAACAATACAAAACAACATGCTTAAAGTTTAAATATTTTTGTAGCTCAAACACAGCTATATCAATGGGCTTTCCTTAAGTGGTGGCATGTAAAGATTTAAAACTTAATACCTCTGAAAGGCAATACACAGGAGAGGGGAGCACATAAGAGGGAAAAAAGTAGAACAAGAAAGCTGGAAAGTTCTGATCAAACTCATGAAGGCAGTTGGTAATAAGCTGGCAGCATCGTACCCACCTTTGGTACCGGTGAATGTGCCCTGAAGCATGAGGAGAAAGCAAAAGGGGGTCTCCTCTGTCGTTTTTTGGCAGGTAATGCAACCTCTGTCAGCATGGCTCCACAACTGGACTGTCACTGATTAAAGTGACTTCTTTGATTCAAACTTAAAAGAAAATACTGAACAAATGCTAGTTAAAACCTCCTCTTTGTCTTCTGCAAAGTATCTCCGCTTTAGAAAAATCCCCAGGCTGCATATTTAAAACTATTCCCTCATCTGTTCAGCACAGACACTCTTGAGAAAATGAAAGGGAGGGAGTTATTGTGCTGAACTTTAATCAACAGCACTCTACCTGGGGTGTCAAGTTACAGCTGTGTTGACACAGCACTGCTGACTACCATCCTCTGGACCTGAACTCCTCCAGTTAAATAGAAACCAACTTCCCGATTGTGGAAAGTACAGAAATGTTTGTGGCCTGCTGAAAGATAATTTCAATGCCCGAAAAGAAAAACATGACAAATACGTATGAACTAAAATACAAATATAAAGAAAGGGGAGAATTATTAGGGGATTGCCAGCTTCACCAAAGGATTTGGAGTTAGCGAGACATTTCGTAAGACAGGTGCGTCAGTGGGAAAGTTAATAGATGGGATCATTTCCTTTCTTACCAGAGCAGTGATATCCCTGGAAAACTGCAGTCCACAGGTTAGAAAAGGCAGGTAGAGAGAAAGAACTGGTTAGAAAGAAGTTAACAGGTGAGCATTAAGAGGTAAGAGATGTAAAGATGCAGGTAAGGTGAATAAATGTTAAAAATGAGGGAAACTGAAATAGGCCAACTTTCAGCTTGACTGGTACAGACTGGCACTCAGGTGCAATTTTTTTTCCCAGTCTGAACTACTGTATTTACCGGTATTTTAACTGAGTTTTATTTACATAAAAACATCTGTCAAAAAGGCTGGAGGATATAATTTGGAGATAAGCTGCAACAAACAACAGAAGTTCTGTAACTTGGTGTTGTTTTGGAAAAATATAAATGCTTTGAATTAACCATCATAATAATACATACATACCGGTAATACATATTAATTAATACACCATATTATACTTTGTTAAGGATTCAGGGATTTTTTTTATTGTCATACCAGCTCACATTTGCATGCTTATGGTACAAAATTCGGACTCAGGTCCCAGATCAAGAAGCCTAACAATTAGCAAATAAATAAATACAAAAGAGTGT